AAAGATGGGTGGAGTTTTGTGTGCAGAAAGCTCATGCAGTGTAGGAGAGATTGAAGCGGAGCCAACCTGTTTACGAAGGAGTGAAGCATGGAACACCGGATGGATTTTAGCACGAGGAGGCAAAGCAAGATGATATGCAACGTGCCCAACACGAGCAATGACTGGAAGAGGCCCATAATATAAAGCATTTAGCTTATGGGACGCTCATCGGTAGAGGGAGTGTTGACGATGGGGCTATAAACAAAGATACACCATGTCACCAACTTCAAATGTGATTTCCCGACACCCTTGGTCAGCATACCCTTTCATGCGTTGTGTAGAAGCGGCCACCGTGGTTTTCAACTGTGCAAAAATGTGGTCACGCCTCACGAGACATTGGTCAACTGTGTCCACAGGAGTCAAACCGGGCGAGTAAGGATGTATGATTGGTGGCAAACGACCATAGAGAGCTTGAAAAGGAGTCATTCCTGTAGAGATATGGTATGTGGTCTTATACGAAATTCTGCCCAAGGAAGAAACCAGACTTTTTTCGGTATTGGCAGAGGTTTAAGGAGACCAGTGGGTGCCAAGGAAGATAATTTGGTGCATTGACACACATCACAAGAAGCAATAAATGTTACTATAGAGCAATACATATTCGGCCAATAGAAGACCTGTGAGAGTCTTTTGAATGTACGAAGAACCCCTGAATGTCCGCCTATTGGAGTGCTATGAATCCTATGATATTCAAATAAAAGTGTGGGTATGAGAATGGAATCAGGAGATAAAGCAACCTGACCCTTAAATCTGACCAGACCATGCTAAAAAGTGAAATGGTTGGTCATGTTGGCAGCAAGCTTGTCTCGCAAAGACTGAAAATATGGCAGACGATCTTGCTCATCAGCAATTTGATGCCAAATATTAGCTTGAGTTGTGGATAGACTGTTGAGAGTGGAACTATCACCCGGCGAGCTGCGCGAAAGTGCATCCTCCATCCGCCACCAAATAACAGCTTGACAACCCATTTTTGCCGGTCTCGTGTCCCAATTTGTTGCTTCAACAAGTGTTTGAGACCAGGGGCGAATCTAGTATAGGGTGAGGGAGGGCCTAGGCCTACCCTCAAAAAAATATATAATACGTAGTACTAGTATATATATATATATATATATATATATATATATATATATATATATATATATATATATATATATATATATATACAATAAAATATAGTGTTGTCTAGAAGAGGTATAATAAAGAAGAAAGTTGAGTAGCAAACAAAAACTTTGTTGGCAAGATGGAACTTAACTGTGGTTGTCGTACAAAGGTCCTGGGTTCGTTTTTCACGGGGAGCGTTTTTTTTTAATTTTCAGTGTAGAACATGGTGTTTTATTTATGTTTTCTTTCCCAAAATTTCAATATCCCATACCTAAAGAAAAGAAGGATTTTCTAGTCTCGATCTCTTAGGATAAATTACAACAAGCCTAACACCAATCTCAAATTGTTGAATAGGCTTAAAACTAATATTGTGAATGCTTTGGATTTTGAATATTAGCATGAGAAAAATATTAATTCAATTCATTGGGTTGGTAGGTAAAAGTTAGTTCCATGTTTATGAGTTTGAGCTGTTTTTTGTATTAGACTGACAAAAAAAATTATATTCCAGTATTTTTTTTTTGACATTTATGTTGTAATATGTGTTATTTTATACATGAAAATAAATTTTGTTAAACACATTATTTTACTACATTTTGACATTTTTTCGCAATATACGTTATTTAATTATTTTTGGCCCCACCTGAATGCAAATGCTAGATTCACCCCTCCTTGAGACTCCTCTCGCCATTAAGTACAACAAATTTTCGACCTACCAGATTAGGCCTCCAAAGTCGTACTGCACATAGGATGGCTAACACTTATATAGCATAAATGGACCAAGAAAGATTAGTTTACCCCAAAGCTCGGCTCATGAATGCAATAGGCCGCCCCTGATGAGACAGAACAACCCCAATTCCTTGTCCCGATGCATTTGTTTCAACATAAAAGGTAGCATTAAAGTCTGGCATGGATGACAAGGACCAGAGTGGAGCTCATTGCACTTTTGAGCTTGTGGAACGTATCAGTGGCAGCCACGGAACACTGGAACTTCTCTTTCTTGAGTAAGTAGGTTAATGGTTTAGCAATAAACCATATCCACGGACAAATTACCTGTGAGATGGAGAGATGCGGCCATTCAAATGAGCTAATCGTTTCATGTATTCTCTATATATAATTGAAATATATATATAGCCACAGAACACTGGAACTTCTCTTTCTTGAGTAAGTAGGTTAATGGTTTAGCAATAAACCATATCCACGGACAAATTTGCGGTAATACCCTGTCAAATCCAGAAATCCTCTCAACTTGGTAACAATGATAGGTTGGCGCCAGCTAAGCGTTGGTGCAATCTTCTCTGGGTCAACCTTCACCCCGTCGAATGAGATAAGGTGGTCTAAGTACAACAACTCCCTCAACCCAAAAGCTCACTTGAAAAAACTTAACATACAATTGTTGCTTGATGAGAACTGAAAATGCTAAGCGAATGTGCTCCAAGCAAACTTCCCTGGTTGGACTATAAACGAGTATGTCATCGAAGAAGACCAATATAAACTTCCTCAGAAACGGCCGAAATATGGTGTTCATAAGGGCCTGAAACATGGACGGAGCTGTAACACCCCACCTCATATGGCCCAAGGTAATTACTCATACACACCCTTCGGACCACTAGTACTGTCCTCACAAACCACCACTAGCCTTTTCCGCGCACTTTGTCCTCACTCGTGCACGCCCTGGGAAACTTCTTAGCGGGGTGACCCATCCTAAGACTACTCCCGTGCAAGCACGCTTAACTTTGGAGTTCTTGGCTAATGAGCTCCCTTAAAAGGAGATGCACCTTGTTGGTATGAGTAGTGTTATTAATCCTCTTAAATTAATCTCGGGTATTACAATCTCCCCCACTTAGGATCACAACGTCCTCGATGCGCCCTTAACACTCTCAATTAAACCCCAAAATCTTGCCCCGCTAAGTGCCTGCCCGATATCCAACGGGTCAGCACTCTAACACCCCCATCTTTCCCACTAATAAAATCATATTTTTAAATGAACTCATCTTTATTATAAAACATATTTAGAGTACAACATAAGTCTTTAAGGGAAAAATAGGTGTGCCACCGTGTTAGAGATATTTTTATAATTGTGATCCATGTATTTAAATTAGCCTTTTGGTGGAATTTATTAGACACTAAATTGGCCTTAAATGGCAATGGTATACTTACCAAAATAGGAATGAACCTCCTCTTTATAGGAGCCCAATCATTGTTGACCTAGCATTCTACAAGGCTATATATATGCCCTTTGTAGAATGCGTAGGTAAGCTTTTAGAAGATTTCAGTTATTCAGCCGCAGAGCATATTTTACGTAGAGAAGGTTTTGTACGCTAAAGTTTTCTCCTATCATTGTAAAACCTTCTTTAATGGAAAGCTTCTACTATATCACCTAGAGCTCCATCTTCATACATCATTATATAGATATAGTATAGTGATATCAAAGGGACCAACATTTGGTATCAGAGCGGGACTTATCGATCGATTGAAGCAGAGAAGAAGAAGCCTGCTCTAAACTTCATCAGCTGTTTTCTTCTCACGAGTGATTTGCAGATTGTTTCTGTTTACTGATTTTGCAGGAAAATGTATACATGATTATGTTTCTGTGATTGCTAGGATTCATTCTCTGTATTTTTCTCAGCAAAATCATCGGCATACAGATCAAGCAGAGGAAGAGCGATTCTGCACTTTAGCGCATCTCACTGAGGAAGAAACAAATTCAACGTTTCATGCATGAATCTCTTTCCTGCGAGTTAGAGGTTATGCGTGAAACTTAAGCTGATTTTTACTCCTTGCACCAAAGTGTTTTGCCTCAAATTGCTCTGCGCCAAAGTCCCGTGCGCCATTTTCAAAGTTGTGTGCGCTATTTCCAAAGTTGATGTGCGCCATAGCTCCGTGCGCCATTTACAAAGCTTGGTGCGCCATTTCCAGAGTCGTGCGCCATTTAAACTTCCGTGCGCCATTTCCAAAGTCTCCGTGCGCCATTTCTCCTTCGTGCGCCATTCTTATTGTGCGAGATTGTTATGTGTGAGATTTATGTCCGTGAGCTATTCTTTGTGCAACATTTTCAAACAGCTAAGGCAACCATTATATGAACCTTCTGCTCAAAGAACTTTACAAACTAAGACAGACCCTAAACGATCAACAGATCAGTCCGATCCAAAAGATGGATCCTCTTTCCATAGGAAATGACACTAGACCCCCAATCCTAAGAAGAGTAGAGTACAATGTTTAGAAGAACATGTTCCTTAACTTTCTCGAAAGCAAAGATCAATCTTCTAGTTTGTTGGACTCGATCACTAATGAACCTACTCAGCTACTGATACCTATTGATAGAAATGATGAGAACAGTCCACCTCTTGAAGTTGAACTACGACAAAAAACCGTTGATGAATATGATGATGAGGACCGAGCAAGAATCCATGCTGACTTACTCGCAAAGACCTACCTGCTCCAAGCTATCCCGAATGACATCTACATGCAAATTGATAGCATGTCAACTGCAAAAGATATGTGGGATGAAATCTTCGAAATTATGCAAGGGACTGAAATAGGAGTCAAAGCAAAGAAAGCAAGCACATTCACAGCATATGACTCATTCAAAGCAAAGCTAGGAGAATCTCTTGAAGACACCTATCTCAGGTTCCTACAACTGATCAATGAAATGAGAAAGATTGGAGTTCACAAATCAAACATGGAGCTGAATGTGAGGTTTCTGTCGGCACTTGGACCGGATTGGAGAAGACTTTTTTTGTTTAGCAATAACAAGAGAAAAATATCCAACACTGATTTCAGACAGAGTGACAGACAAAAGTTCAACTACGAGTCTTATAAGGGGGGAAACAGAACAAGAAAGAAAAACATAATAAAAACAGAATCTGGGAGCAGCTAATCACTTTATGTATTGAGACATCCACTTGAAGCCTTCTCCGTACCCCATCTTGCGGACTATGCTGCACATGAATATCTCAAGAGGGTGCACGTTGGAGTCGGCCAGGTTCACCTTTCCCTTACCAAAAGTGATGTTTGTCAACCCCAGGTTGTAACGCAATTCATCTTCAGAGGCAGCGTATGGGATGTCAATCTTATTGGCCAAAATCAGAAAAGGCACATTGGTAAGGGACTCATCTGAGAGGAGAGCATCCAACTCTTTCTTTGACTCCGCAAATCTTGCTTTATCAAATGCGTCCACCAAGTAAACAACTGCATCCACCTTGGCATAATAGTCTTTCCAAACACAGCGTGCAATCTGATGCCCTCCCAAGTCAAAAGCCTTGAACTTGATTTTCCCAATACCAAGTTCCTCAGATGTAGAGTATTGTGTTGGTTGATGTTGAACCAATCTCTCATCTATAAGCATGTGAAGCAAGGTGGTTTTCCCAGCATTATCGAGGCCCAAGAACAAGATCTTGGCCTCCTTCTGCCATAGACCGAGAGAAGCAAGAATCCCATAAAACCAATCGACCAAGAACATCTTCTGTGGCGTGAAGCTACGATCCGATTGCAATCGAAGCTCCGATGCAAAGAGCAGACACCAAAAAACCTAGAAACGCGAAGAAGAAAAGAGAGAATCAGGGAGTAGCCAATTGGATCGATGGGCTCTCTCTGAATTGGAGAAGGCTATGCTCTCAGATTAGGCATACAAAAGACCTTGATGATATGGACATCCATGCTGTATACAACACACTTGACCAATATGCTGAAGATTTTTTTTGCTACGTTCACACAACTGTGATGGATGAAAACGGCAAGGATGCTGTTGACAAATTAGCTGATACTCTTGCACTGATGCTTGACAAACCTTCCAAATATGGCTCCAAGAAGGATAAAATGAAAGCTGAAGAAAGTGAAAGTGCTGATAGTGACATCGGTTTCTGGGATGAAACTGATAATGATGATGAATTGTGTGAGTTTCAAAAGCAGATAACACTCCTTACTTCCAGGTTCAACAACAAGATGCTGAAGAAGAACACGTCCTCTAATAAGCTTCGAAAATACTCTACCGGCACAAAAAGAAAGGAACATCCCTTTGAATCAAATGAGAGTGCAAATGCCGAGGATGCTCCAAAATGCTTCAACTGAGGGAAAACAGGACATCTAATTAAGGATTGTAGGATGCCAAAGAGAAGAAAGGATGTTGAGTACTACAAGCAAGAGATAAACCTGAACAAGAAAACGATGCTGCTAACAATGGAGGAAAGAAGTGAGAAAGTGCCCTCATGGCTGAAAAGGATCACTAGATGGATGATTCAGATGATCAGGAAAACATGGCAGCAATGGCCATTGTTGAAAATGAAGAAGAGAAGACCACCACTGCTGATGAAAATGCAAACTTGACCAATCTCTCTGTTGCTGAATTGATAACTGTCCCTGCTGTTGAAAAGGGAAGACTGACAGCTCTTTCTGCTGAAAACCCGGATGCTAATTGTGAGGTAAGTACTTCTAATGCCTTAAATCCAGCATGCTCAGCTCTAAGATAGATTCAAACATTATCAAAATTAAGGAGCTAGAAGAGAAACTTGATAATGTTCACAATGTCAGCATCAAACTGCTCGAAAGGCAAACATGCTTAAAAATAAAGATAACCAACTCAGAGAAAACAATCACTAAACTCACAACTGAGAACAAAAGATTAAGTGACGGTGAAAAAGAACTTAAGGAGAAACTTAGGGTCACTGAAAAGGAAAGAATCAAGTTTTATGGTGAAAACAATTTTCTTAAGGAAAAAAGGCCTGCTCTTTATACCAAAATAAGAGAACTTGAAGACCTGTTAGCTAGGAGAGATCAAACAGACCAGGCCATTTTCCTTAACCAGTCTAAGGACACTCGTTTCTATAACTCCAAGGAGGGCCTAGGATTGACCAACCCTCAAAATCTGAAAAAGGTCAACTGTGTTCAACTCTATGATGTTAAATACATGAGACTAGGATTGACCAAACTCGTGGCCTTCACTGGGGATGAAGAAACGAATGCCCTCGAGGATGAAAAGAGAAAAACCAAGGCTGGTGTCGAGATCCCTTTTAATTATACAGAGTTAAACAAGAGTTACAAAACCAAAAAAAAACCTTTGACCCCTATTGATGAAATCCTGACCTATACTCCCGAAAAGGAAACTGTGAAAGAGAGAGAGGAACCTTCCACCTCAGAACCTGCAGTCAAACAAGCATACATCCCACCTCTTGTGAGAAAGTTTGCTGAGTTAAAGGAATCCTTTGATAAAGAAAAACAGGTTTTTGAAAAAGAAAGGGAACAACTTCTAAAAGAGATATCATTTTTGAAAACAACCTCTCATTCTCTCACAGTTTCTCAAACCTCTTCCCCTTCTTCTTCGTAGTTCCTAGGACCTTCCCTGGTGAACCCTCAACTAGTTATGTTAGTAGACTTGTCCCTAAGTCTTCTCTTTCTATGACAACTGTCACCAATCATTATACAAGCTGTGTTTCTCTGAATTGTGTTAAGCTAATGAAATGTTGCATTTTTTAGTCCACTTCCACTGTTAACAAAACTGATCTTGTGATTGTTCAAGAAAATCTGAAAAAGCCTGAGACTGATAAAACAACCGTTGAGGGGAAATTCAAACTTTCATTTTAAAGTATCCCCTCAAGGTTAATTCAGCTACACATCTGAAAAGGCTCTCACAGGAACCAATTTTGAAAGATCACATATCTGAGATCTCCCTAGCTCCAAAAACAAAACAAATATGGGTTACCAAGGCTGTGGCTGAACAGTTGAAATTGAATAATGATTCTCAAATAGTCAGTCTAGGATCCCATATTAAAAAGAAATTGAAACAACTGGTCACTGTTGATAAGGAAGGATCCATCTTCTGATGGGTACCTAAGCGAAACTAATCTGTTTTGCAGGCCAGTCATGTGTGGAATCTTGATTCGGGTTGCTCGTCACACATGACTGGACAAAAAGAACCCGTGAGCAACTACTCTGAACAATTTGGAGGAAATGTGAGGTTTGGGAACAATGCATCATCGCCCATACTCGGAATAGAAGATGTCATTTGTGAGAGTGTCACGATCAGAAATGTGTCGTTTGTGCAAGGTTTGAAGCATAGCTTGCTTAGCATTGGCCAATTTTGTGACAATGGAATGGAGGTGAGATTCCATGCTAAGCAATACTGTGTGATGGACATGGGCGGGAAACCATTATTAAGATGTCAGAGGAAAACCAATCTCTACACCATCGATCTTAAAACAGTCCGATCCCCCATATCCATCTGTCTCTTATCCAAAGCATCTCAGGAGCAAAATAATCTATGGCACAGACGTCTCTCACACTTGAATCTACCTGCGATCTGTTCCCTCTCCTCAAAGAAGCTAGGGAAGGGAATGCCTGTACTGAAGAACCCACCCAATCACCACTGCTCTGCTTGCCATTTGGGAAAGATGAGGAGCGCGTCACATAAATCGAAGCAATTTCCCTCCTCGTCTCATCCCCTGGAACTACTTCATATGGATCTGTGCGGTCCGATGATTGTTCAAACCATCAATGGACGCAGATACACTTTGGTAATTGTGGATGACTACTCACGCTACACATGGACCAAGTTTTTGCGATCCAAGGACGAGACTCCAAATCTGATCATGACATTCATCAGGACCATACAGAACTACCTGCAGCAGAACGTGAAAATAGCGAGAACTGACAATGGGACGGAGTTTAAGAATAAGGAGTTGGCCGATTTCTACGAAGCTCAGGGAATTACTCAACAGTTCGCTGCAGCTAAAACACCACAGCAGAATGGTGTTGTAGAAAGACGGAACAGAACCTTGGTGGAAGCAGCCAGAACCATGTTAATACAATCAAAACTTCCTGTAAGGAATAATTGTAATTAGATTTTGATGATGCTATACTTATTAGGACTTTAGAGTACCCCTTCTTTTGATTTCTTGTATTAGAAATTTTCCTTGTAAAGTTCTTTAGAATAGTCGACTGACAGAAGACCTCCTGACAGAAGACCCTCTGATAGGCTTTGTACTAACAGAGGACCATCAACTCTCTGCTTCCGAGTAGAAGACCTCTGGGTCTCTGTTAGCCTTAACACAAACAGAAACCCTCCTGGTTCTCTGTTGAACATTTCTTCAACAGAAACCCTCAAGACTCTCTGATAATCTTTTCCAACAGAAGTGCTCAAAACCTTCTGTGACCGACTCTCTGCTGAAGACACCAGAAGGCCTGACACTTGGAGAATTTTTCCAAGCTGGTAAACCAACTGAAGATTCATTCAACGGCTAGGAAAGTTGAACAGAAAAGCTACATTACGCGCATTAAATGCAAATTTAATGCCTCCCGTACTCTGAAGAGTAAATGCAGATGATTGGCCGCAATGTCAGGATAGCTTTATCCCAAAATAGTAACCCGTCAACTTTGCTGGGTCCTACTGGTCAAGTCAACTGCTCGCACATTTAATGCAGTTGTCCTCCTTCTCCTCCAACGAGAAGACAACCCAAGTATAAAAGATACACTACGAAGAACAACTGGATAACTTTGCTACAGTTTTGAAAATACAGTAACATTCAAACATTAAAACGCTAAAGCCTCCTTGAGATTAAACCTTCATCATCTTCTACAAGAGAAGGAAGACGTTGGAAAGATTCTTACTTCCAACTCAAGCAAAGTTCCATTCGTTCTTCAACACTTCAAGCACTTCATCTACGAATCTTTTGTAACGAAGCAAGTTGGAGGAACCCCTGTTTCAACAGAAACTCTTCTCTCACAAGAAGGACGTCCAAGTACCTGGAGTAGTGAAGTGGTGATACTTCCGGGAAGCTCAGTGAAAGGACCAGTCTTAAAAGAAGACAGAAAGTGCATCCCAGAAGACATCTACACTTGAAGAAGACGTGGAGAGATTCTTAAGTGATAGGACTAAGGCGTTGTAAACGGATGTTTTTACAAGCTTAGTGGAACAGTGGATTAGAAGAACAAGTTGTTCCTTGAACCACTATAAAAATCCCTGGTGTCATTTACTTACTGCGTTTACTTATTGCATTTAGTTTGAACCGATTAACTCCAAAGACTTGGTCTCTGTGTTCAGCAGAATGTGTCTTGTGAGTTAACAGAAGGCCTATTGCCTTTGATTCTCTGAGGCTTATTTGACAAAATCCCTACCAGAACCTCATCCGCTGCCAGTCTGTTCTGCCAACAGAACAGGCTATTCTGTTAAATCTGGTACTTAGCTTGAAAAAGTTAAAAACCAATACAGTCTATTCACCCCCCTCTAGACTGTATCCAGTACAACCGGGACCAACACTTCCTCACTTCATCTGGGCTGAAGCTATTAACACGGTTTGCTTTACCAAGAATAGGGCCATGATCCACAAAAGATTTGACAAGACCCCCTACGAGATTGTGTTCAAGCGACTCCCAAACATCGTGTTAGACCCAATATCATCCAACATTCAAACAAACAATAGAGTAGAGAATAAACAAAGATCCGATTCAATACCAACAAAGATTTCGAATTACAAAGTAGGGTATGAACGACAAACTTCAGCTCTCTCTCTCTCTCGCTCTACAATGATATGTGCGTTAATAGCTTATGAGGCTTGTGTGAGAGTTAGGGTTTGCTTAAGTTAGCATCCTTTTATACATAACG